CTCTCCATCCGTGTTTCTTTCATCTGAGCCGTCAAATTGTCCTTCGTTTTCTCTGGCTTTGCGAGTGCCACTTGTATTATCGAATTTTGTCTCCCTTTATATTGACTGAATTGATTCTTTTTTGTTTCCTTTTTATGTATGCTCTCCTGTCTCTCTTTATAGCCCCATCATTTAATTCTCCTTTTCTACTGTCTACTCGATCTATCACTGCCTTTATGATCCCACTTGCCCTACTTATTGCGATTAATGTTTGTCAATTTTAGCTGCTTGCTTATCTTCTATTTTAATTTAATCCTCAGGGCTATTTATCTCTTACTAGATGTCGGTTTACATTTGTTTTGTTAGCGTTGTCGGTATCTCATTGTCTTATTTGTCAGTCCATCTATGGCCGCGTCCCTCAGAGATAAGTTTATTCCGTTTGTATCAAGAAGATTAATAAAGCGTTTAAGCTTTGCCTTTTAGAATTTAATAATTATTTCAATGTGCATACAAAACATTGAGGGTAGACTTGTATGCCCTTGTTTAAATAGTATAGTCTCATGTTAATTGAATCACCCTATTCGTGCTGGTCACACCATCTGGCAACTTAAAGTCGTCAGTGGACTTGAAGTGAATCGTCGTCGTGTTCTCATATGCTCGCTCGCATGATTCTGCTCGCAAGGCTTGTCGCGCTTTAATCCAGACGGCCGGCAGCGTTCGCTCCGTCTTTTTGTATTTCAAGCATCGTCCAATCCATGTGCTAGCCAAGTCGAGAAGGAATATTTTCCTTCCCATTCTTTTCGTGCTGGCCTCATCATTTTGCCTACCAAAATAAAATAAATAGTTAAAATAATCCAAATAAGTATGCCGTCGATATGAAGTGGGACCTTAAGAATAATCGCAATCCCCTTTAGTCATATGTTTGCTTTTTGACCTCTTTCCTAACTTGGCCAAAGCGATGTGGTAACCTTGTGGAACGAGCCTAGTCCTGCGTCTTGAGCCCTCGGGTATTCATGATAATTTTCCGTATCAGCTCCTGTATTTGATGCATCTCCAGGAATAATAACGGCACCGTAATCGGCGTCATTATTATCCCAGTTACAATCTCTCAGCAACGAGCCAAACTATGCGCAAAGTGTGTTTCCTTTCACAGACGATGAAGGCAAAGCGTCTCGATGTACGCAGTCTGCGTTTCGATGTAAATCATCATGAATATTCAAAAGCAGGTGATACAGGACTAGGTACGGTTCTCAAGATCTTGTTTCAAAAGCGGGCTGGGTTGTTGAATTCAATAGAATATCGTTTTAGCTCTTAACAAATCCCTCGAGTGGTATCAGTCGGGCTGCCCTCACTCGGGCGCGAGCGACCATTCGAACAAGGTTAGCCTACTCCACTCAGTATCTCGCGAAGTCTTAACATTCGGTGTCTCAGACTGCATGACAGACTTGGGCAGGTCTAATGGATGAGAGTGGATCCGAGTACCCAAATGCCGTGGTCCTGATTTTTACTCTGGATTGGCGTACCTCCAAGCAGGGGCAGGCAATTTCGAGCTACAT